TATTCCTGCGGCCTCTTTAGAAGCTTCAATAATATTTGTTTTTATTTTATGCCATGACATTTCTATGCTGTCATTATCCAAGACCGACTTGTGAAATATTTTGTCATTCAGTCCGCTTTTATATAGATATCTGGCAGATTCATCACTTAATGCTTCAATGTATATCTTTTGTATGTGTTTCGGTTTTCCCTTTGCAATATTTTCCTTCATAATGAACATTCGTAGTTTTATTAATACCAGGTTATGATCACTGCCAATATCCGCTCCTGATAGGCTCCTTACATCTAGTGTCTGGGATAGGTGAATTTCATGATTAGTAAGTATAAAATCAATGGTGTATTTTTGTCCTCTTGTGTTCATCCATGTAGATTTATGCTGTTCTTTATGATCAAAGAAAGTGTTGTTTGCTCTTATTTCGTTTTCAACGCAGAAATCTATAAGAGTTTCTTCATTTTCATTGAGATCATGTTCATTGAACCTGTTTTTAATTCCCGGGATGGTGTGATTTCCTACTCTAGCATTCAGATTACCTGCTAATACTACCGATTCCTTAGGATCGATTTGGCTGATCGTTTCTTGGATGTCATCATAGAATTTTTGTTTTTCGTGGGATGGTTTATTATTTTCTGGCGCCTACACGGATATAATGTTGATTGGTTTAGATTTATTTGCCAATTTCACAGAAATAATTCTTTCGGAGATGTAGTTATGTTTAATTATGTTATTTACATATTTGTTAAGCATTATGATTGCTACACCCTCCTTTGCTCTATGTTTTGGAGGTCCACTATATATATATATGTGTGAAGTGACCCTTTTGTCATATTAATAATTCCTTGTCCCTTTTTCTTAGTTTCTGTGAGCCAACATAAGTCAATTTTGTTCCTGTCAAGTTCCATTAGTATTTCATATTCGCTTGTATTCCACGATCTCACATTCCATGTTCCGATTAGTGTAATGTTCTTCCTTTTCCAGTTCGTAGTCCGTTTTCTTGCCAGAGTTGTCGTACATATAGGATTGATCCGAGGCAAATTCTTGGAGCTCTGAGCGGTATCTTTTTTTACCCTGAGCAGGCTGCTAACCTCACTCAGGAACCCCCCTCCTCTATCCAAGCTTGGGACCGGCAGTGGGCTGCTAAGCTACTCAATCCATCTAGCAGACACCACAGGCGTAGTTACTAATACAGTGCGACAATTTAATTTTATTAGATAGATTTTTTTTTTGTCAAAAATCAGTAAATTTGAATGTGACGTATGGGGGAGAAGATCATCTGCGCACTTTTCTTGAGTTCCAGAATCCCTTCCCATCATTTTAACTATAAATAGTTGAAAGACGAGAAAAAGTTGAAGATAAATAAATAAAAATAAAATTTTTAAAAACGCGAGATTAGCGACGTTTGAAAATCTAGACATTTTCGTTCCCGAGTTATAGAAAACTTACTTGCAAGGGTAAACGAAGTACATATTTTATTTTCTGCATTGCTAACAAAATAGTAACTCGCCCTTACTCCTACCACTACAAGCAAAAAGAGAGTTCAACAAAACGTGCGCAAAGTGAAGCTACATTTACGTCCAGAAGCAAAACAAGGGGCCATCTCAGCATTTACTCAATGTATCAGAGAAACTTTTAATGTATTGGTAATTGAATGTATGGAAAATAACTTAATGTTGTCAGATACATATATATGTCGTGCATTGCACAAAAACATTGAGGAGATATATTTTTTCAGTGTCTAATTTGTTATACAATTTGTTGGTCTCACTGTTCCCACTTTTCACTTACTCCACGACAGAAAAAATGATAATGGACGCCCTTATCAACGGTTTATTCGCTTTCTTAATAATGTTAAGCAAAGCAAGGACTTCGTATTTTTGTAGATTCAAATATTCATACATGTGGAGGGGTTACAATATTCTCCAAAAAATATTAAATCTCTCTTTGTTGTATTATCACTCTGCTGAAAGGAATTCCACCTATTGAGTGTGTATTGTAATTTATATATATATATATATAAAGTTGGCGGGGGTCGTCCCATTCCAGCTCTGCCTGGGTGACCGCCCGTCGCATGCGGAAGGGTAAGTTCTGAAAATGACGGAGCACGACACCTACACGCGAGTTTGGTCAGTTGGACATGAAAGAATGCTTCAGCTTTGACGCTGAGTTTAATGTCTCATCATGAGGACGGGAATGAATATGCGAGCGGCGGTTGGTGGTGTGTAGCAATGGAGGTGGCATCAGGATCTGTTTTACTGTATACCCCAGGAACAATTATTTACATGTGCGGCAATTGTGTTGGCGCCGTCCCAGGATCTGGATATCTGACAGCCAGTGTGTTGCTGCTGTATTCAGCAGAAAACTAGCAGGAAAACGGGAGAATTGGAGAACGCGCCATTCCTCCGACGTCGGATATTGGGAATTGAGCCTGGTCTTCTTCGCCCGATCCGCCGAGTAAATGTATCGTGTATTTTGTAATGCACAAAAAGAAAGTGCATATCAAGCATAGGGCGCCAAGCTTTCAGTAAATTCTTGGGAAAAATCTCTGCTTGAAGTACTCGTCAACAAATATCTTGCACTTATTTCATGGGCTAAAACGGCGATCTGTCGCGTGATGCGTGATCTGCATCTGAAGGAGAGAGCACGACACTGTTTGCGGAATATATCCGTGCATACATGCCGTGATTCGCGGCAGGCGCGACGGATTGCGCTCATCCTGCCGCAGCGCCCCTCGCTCGCCTCCCCTAGCTTGCCGAATTCTAGATCCGGTTTGGATATCGGGGCGCCCGATGTGCCGGGCTGCGCTGAGACACAGGCGCCGGGCAAGGTTATAAATGCGCGGCGGCCGCTGCCGGCGAGCCGCGAGTGTTGAGAGGGCCTTGAGGGGGATTTCGTGCTAAGCGTATAAGAACCGCACTCGATTGGTACGCATGCGGAGACGAGACCAGATGTCCTACTATAAGGCGGAAAAGAACTAGGTAAGGAAAAGGGCGGTGCAGATACGGAGATGATGGAAGCGACGAGAGCAGCAGGGTGATAAGCAGGTTCAGCGTGCGGCGGTGCAGTGTGTCGCATGAAGTGGGAGAGCTGTGGGCTGTGAAATGTGGGCATTGCGGTGAAGAGTGGGGCAGCGGTTGAACAGCAGGTCATGGCCGGCAGTCTGAAGTCCTGCTAGTCGGAAGCTGAGCTGTGAAGGGTGCATGCGCGGTAAGCAGTGGTGCAGTGGGAAAACAGCAGTCAAGGCAGAGTTGTGAGAGTCTGCAGTGGGGACAGCTGAGCTGTGAACGTGGGGCAGTCGGCGGTAACAGGCAGTGGGCAGTGGGAACGCTGGGTGTGCGCAGTGGAAGGGTGTGGTGCTGGCGCAGGGAATTGGGTAAGTGGAGTGGACCGTGACTAGAGCATCAGAGCTGCGCTGATACTGTAGAAGAAGAGACTGTGTAATAAAATAGTGTGTTAGAAGTGACCTGTGTAAATAAGCCATCAAGAGAACGGGAATCGGGTGTGTAAAGAACAATAATTCAAGTGTAATATATTTGTAAAGTAGGACAAGTATATTAGTGGTATGATTTGGTTCGCGGCCGAATACAAGCGTAAATTGTTTAAATATTGTGTTAGATTCATTCAGCGACTGGGAGAAACGTTAGGGCAATATAAAAAAGTAACTTTTATATATATATTATATATATATATATAAA